GATGTTTAAGAAGCTACAGGAAGACCAGAAAAAGAAGGAAGACTGTAGCAAGTCGAGCGGTGTTGGTATAGGGGCTACTACCACAACTACCACCACAACTACTACCACAACTACCACCACTACCACTACCACTACCAGCAGTGATGAGGATAGAGGAACCACCGTCCAGCCACCTGGGAAGGACCTACATAAGAAGTCATCGTTAAGTTTTGTAAGACCAGGCTACCATAGCATTTATTATGCTTTTGTCTCCACATTTTGCTATTTTAGTCACTTTTTTTAATCAGTTTTGGCTTCACTGGCTGACCAAACTATTAACTAACTAATCTGTTCTTTCTCTCAGGTCTAATGTATTTTCATTTTCAGATACTGGAAGATTGATGCTGTGTCCTGCATTATTTAATTGTTTACCTTTTCAGCAGAATTTTATTATTGTGGGAAAATTTATAAGTTTTTCATTGTTTCTTATTGTATGATGCATGATGAAAGTTAATATGGAGATAAGATTATGTACGAAATATGCCTCGTCGTTAGAAACGGTAAACCATCGATATAATGGACTTCAGAAATGCGAAGCAAATCCACTGCGTCAGATTTGGAAACGGCCAAAGTTTCTTGGTTACGTAATTGTCAGTTTTTGTTGCTATGACAACAGAAAATCTCTTCAATATTTACCATGATTGCCAGTATCGGAAACACACACATACACCCCTATTTTTCGTTATAATGAAGTTTTACTATAGATTATATATTTTTCATTGTTTAACAGAAATAGCCCCTCAAGGAAGGTTCCTTGATGTTGGTGAGGGGCTCTTGATTTAGGGAATTGGATCTGTGCTCCAGTTCCCCAAATTAAGCCTGAATGCCTTCAACATCCCCCCCCCAGGCGCTGTATAATCCTCCGGGTTTAGCGCTTCCCCCTTGATTTTAATAATAATAATAACAGAAATAGTTGAGAGACTAAGTAGTTGTTTCCTCTTGACAAGGGCACTTACTATTTATATTTTATTTTAAGTGAGTGGTTTTGCTTCTGGAAATTTCAGTCTTAAGTAACAAAGGTACGTTTTGCCTTTGTAGTATTGGTTAACGTTTAAATTAATTGCAATTGTGTGCATCCATCATCTTATACAGTGGACCCCCGGTTAACGATATTTTTTCATTCCAGAAGTATGTTCAGGTGCCAGTACTGACTGAATTTGTTCCCATAAGGAATATTGTGAAGTAGATTAGTCCATTTCAGACCCCCAAACATACACGTACAAACGCACTTACATAAATACACTTACATAATTGGTTGAATTGGGAGGTGATCGTTAAGCGGGGGTCCACTGTATTTCCGTCTCTATGGAAAGTTTGAAGCAGATCTCAAAGCTGTCTATCAGTTTTCATCAAAACTGAATTTGTTCATTTAATGCTCATAGGTACCATTAGTCAGTTTAAAGGGTCACTGCTCCCTTAGCCCTGTCCTAGACCAAGCCTTTGGTTGCTGGCCTGATTGACCAGGCTGTTGGGGCTAGTTGCATGCACACGAAGTTGGTGTATGAACTTTGATAATAGAAAAGCATAGGAATCACTGTAAATGATACAATGAGCCTATATTGGTAAAATAAAACAGTCAGAAAAGTACTGTATATTTTGGCCAACCAATTTAATCCAGCTCCGTAAACATTGTCCCACGCATACATTGTTTCATTCTTCAGTTAATACAGAGAACCCCTGATATAATGGATTAATAGGGGTGTCCATTATACCAGAATACCATAAAATGTACTAAAGTACTTTACTGTATTCCTAATATAGTATCTAACACAATTTACAGATACGTATACTGCAGTAAACATTGGAAATAAAAAGTACAATTTACCCAGTGGATTTTGCCCATATATTTAAGTCTGTTATATCAGGGTCCATTATATTGAAGGTTTACTGTGTGCTTTTCTTGACTATTGATAGTAATTACAATAACCTGTGAAAATTATTTTAGTGGCCGGTTATTTTTCACTGGGTTTGCTTTTGCAGTTTATGCATGGAAAAATGATGTGTTAAACTGTATTAAACTGTAATAACATTGCTTACTGGTAGCTAAAAATTCTAAATTAAATGAATTTCATATTAGTAAAAAAAAAAAAAACCTGAACTCATTGCCAAGGGAGCAAGTCTTTTCAGCACTCTCCCTTCATTCATAAAGGGAATTATTAACAAACCCCTGATTTTCTTCAAGAGGGAGCTAATACGTTGTTTAAGTCAGTCCCTGATCAGCGAGGCTGGGGTGCATTGAACTGTGTGGCTAGCACCAACAGCCTGGTTGATCAGGCCACCAACTAGGCCTTATTTGGGACAATGTCATGGGGGGATAGGCTGGGTCAGAGACCCCCAGAATTGTATTCAGGTAACCATATCTTCATTTTAAAGTACAGTATAATCCAGTATGTTTTTTGACTGCATCAGGACCCCACATATGTATACACAACCTCTGAGAATTTATCTACTCTATATATTTGTGTCCTTCGCTTATCTTAAATCTAAACCTACACAGGGAGTACTACATTAAGAAAATATAAAAATAATTTAGTTTGGAAATTAGGTTAGATTCACTATTACTGATACAAATAATTACTTATAGAGAAACTCTGCATTAGTCTTTTATTCAGAGATACTTTTAACTAGCTCTGCATATGAGCTAAAGATATTGGTCATATGAATTCATTAATATTTAACAAATAGTCTGAGCGTTTATATTACAATGAACAGTAATTAAAATATAAATAAAGAGAAGTACAGTACTGCATAACATTAGCTGCTTGAGTAACAATTATCCTTGCCATTTATAAATTAAATTTCTGATCTCGTGGAGAAAAGGCCCTATGCAGTTAAGAAATAACTTATGACTGTAGTTCAGGTATAAATGTAGCCTATAAAAATCCCAACATCAGCCTTACCCAGTGCCACGCTGCAAGACCAGAAAACCTCTCAAAGCCTGCCAACTTTTTTTTTTTTTTTTTTTAACAAACAAACTGGCCATATCCCACCGAGGCAGGGTGACCTAAAAAGAAATACAAAAGTTTCTCTTTTTAAAATTAGTAATGTATACAGGAGAAGGGGTTACTAGCCACTTGCTTCTGGCATTTTAGTTGCCTCGTTTGATACATGGCTTATGGAGGAAGAATTCAGTTCCATTTCCCCATGGAGCCCTTCAAAGATTTATCATAGTTAATTAGTCAAACTCCAAAATTGTATACAGTATATACACACTGTAAATAAATGGGCTAAATAAGTTTCATTATATTCGATTTAGAAAGATGGTGTAAAGATTAAATTTTTCTCAAAACTCCAGCCCGTCGCGTTAGCCACTAGACCAGCTAGCCACAATAAGATTCATCCAACTAGGTATATTTCTACACCATAGGAAGGTTAGCACAGGCACCTCTGTGACCACAAATGCAAGTTTTTACAGACGAATCTCCAGCTAGCGTGGCCGTGAGACTCTATGACCGCGGGTTCAATCCCGGCCGGGGGTATGGTTTATTTGCAATCGTGTCATTACGATTTCTTAAGTCATTAAATTTTTCATTGATCTGTTTGTTGCCTGTTTTACCCTGTTAGCATTTTGTATTCTTAAATGATGTAGGGTACCTCCTACATATCTACTCAGTTGCATCCCAATTTCAATGCATTGCTTGTATTGGGTGTAAAAAATTTTTAGCTACTGACAAATTTTTTGGTTGTAGATTAAATGCTAGCTCAGAGCTACCATATATTTTATTTTGTCTTAACATTTTTGTTATAATGTAACTACGATACAGTATTGCTTTTGATATCACAAGATAATCTAATAATTTTAAACTTTGCTGAGTTCTTAGTTATGCTGATTTCTCAAGTCACAAATTTTTCTGGGTTTATAAATTCCATACATTGTACACATTTAAAAATACCCCAAGGTAATGCTTCCACTAAACATTGATTTGAATCTTTCGTCTATAATATTGAATCGAAGCCGTTAGTTTATTTTTCACAGTGGAAAGGGAATGGCTTTTAATTTCTGGTACATATAAGGGATTAGCTTTGATTATATGCATACATATGAATTAGTCTTATAATTAAATGTTAAGCACAAACTGCATAGAAAGATTTACATTTTGTCAACTATAATTTAGATTAGAGGAAAAAACTTTAATCCCATTGTAATAAAGTACATTATATTTCAGTGTTAGTTTTTCCTGAATTTGCAAGTTCAACATTAATGGCTAAAACTGTCTGTCAAAATTTTATTAGTATTTATACGAAAAAATTTGCTTAAGTGTACAGTAATAATTGCAGTGGGAAGAGGTTTCCTTTTTTTTTATGTAGCTGAAAATATTTTTTGTATGTATGTACATTCAAACTCTTCCTGGAGTTAGTTTCATATTCTTAAATGCTGAACACACACTTTCCCCTTCAAGGTTACTAAGCATGTATTTCCCTATTTCTTGGCAAACTTTCATGTTTTGAGCACATCTGAACAAGTGCATTGTACTCCTCAAACTACAAAGTCAAGACTACTTATACCCCCCTCCTACATTTATGACCATTTTATCCCTGACAACCCATTTTCTTTTCTCTGCAAAATTAAGGTATTAAATTGGTTTCCAGGAATAGAACCCTGTTTATAACATTGTACCTATGAGATATAAGAGTTTGACTTAAGACAGTTCTCCCAGAACCAATTAGATTGGAAGTGCGGAAGTCATCTGTGTAACGGTATAAAAACACAACTATTAATTTCTGCTACAGGAGGGCTCCACTTGTACAGCAGGTTAGGTTCCAGGCTACTGTAGGGTCCCACTTGTACAGCAGGTTAGGTTCCATGCTACTGTAGGGCCCTGCTTGTACAGCAGGTTACATTCCAGGCTACTGTAGGGCCCTGCTTGTACAGCAGGTTAGGTTCCAGGCTACTGTAGGGCCCTGCTTGTACAGCAGGTTAGGTTCCAGGCTGCTGTAGGGCCCTGCTTGTACAGCAGGTTAGGTTCCAGGCTACTGTAGGGCCCTGCTTGTACAGTAGGTTACATTCCAGGCTACTGTAGGGCCCTGCTTGTATAGCAGGTTAGGTTCCAGGCTACTGTAGGGCCTGCTTGTACAGCAGGTAGGTTCCAGGCTACTGTAGGGCCCTGCTTGTACAGCAGGTTACATTCCAGGCTACTGTAGGGCCCTGCTTGTATAGCAGGTTAGGTTCCAGGCTACTGTAGGGCCCTGCTTGTACAGCAGGTTAGGTTCCAGGCTACTGTAGGGCCCTGCTTGTACAGTAGGTTACATTCCAGGCTACTGTAGGGCCCTGCTTGTACAGCAGGTTAGGTTCCAGGCTACTGTAGGGCCCTGCTTGTACAGCAGGTTACATTCCATGGCTACTGTAGGGCCTGCTTGTATAGCAGGTTAGGTTCCAGGCTACTGTAGGGCCCTGCTTGTACAGCAGGTTAGGTTCCAGGCTACTGTAGGGCCCTGCTTGTACAGTAGGTTACATTCCAGGCTACTGTAGGGCCCTGCTTGTACAGCAGGTTGCATTCCAGGCTACTGTAGGGCCTTGCTTGTATAGCAGGTTAGGTTCCAGGCTACTGTAGGGCCCTGCTTGTACAGCAGGTTAGGTTCCAGGCTACTGTAGGGCCCTGCTTGTACAGCAGGTTACATTCCAGGCTACTGTAGGGCCCTGCTTGTACAGCAGGTTACATTCCAGGCTACTGTAGGGCCCTGCTTGTACAGCAGGTTACATTCCAGGCTACTGCTGTAAAGCGAAAATCACTGTCAAGCGAAACATAGCCTTATTCACTTTCAAATGCATATAAAATCCTGATAACATGTTTATACTATCATATATTAAGTGAGCAATAGAGCTAGGCCTAAAAAATTAATATACAGTACACACATTACTGTAAAATATTTTCATCTTTAGTGATGAATATATTGTAGGAAGTTTGAGTGAATGAAGACGGTATAATTGAAATCAACTGTATTAGCAAAATGCTGTAATGCAAAGCACTGTAAATGCAGGGGTCTCCTGTACTTGTTTCATGGATTATTATTATTATTATAATCAAGGGGAAGCGCTAAACAAACCCGGAGGATTATACAGCGCCTGGGGGGGAGAATGTGGAAGGCATTCAGGCTTAATTCGGGGAACTGGAGCACAGATCCAATTCCCTAAATCAAGAGCCCCTCACCAACATCAAGGAACCTTCCTTGAGGGGTTGTTCCATGGAGCTGTGTAATGCTCAGCAGGAAAAACAATAGCAGATACATGTGGCTTTGATAGTCTTATATTGTGTTAATCTTAACCTTCATGCATTACCATTTTGTTTGTCTGCTTTGTCTTGTTTTCCCTAGTTACCATGCTACTTTGTTCCTGAGGCTTTATATGTATTATTCTTGTAAAGCTAATATTTCTCAAGTGTCTATTTAGTGACCGTTTTCATTGTGTTAGCTAAACAAAACAATGAAAATTGTGTAATTTTTAATATGAATGATGGATAAATATTTGTGTGCTTGAGGTTAAGGTTTTTATTACAAGAGAGAATGTGTTCTTTTATGATATTGTTGTAAGATGATGTTCTCAGTGGTTATAGTCATAGTATACATTTATGGGTGTCTCTTGCACTTTTCCTTTACCACAACTAGATTACTTTTATTCTTAAAAATTTTACATTTGTTTATTAAGAAGTTTAATTTTAAATTTCAATACTGTACAGTGCAATACTAACACTTGCTGATATTTTAGCTTGAAATGTTAGGTTATGATTCAGGAAATTTATTATATTTAATATATTGTTTTAAGTAATTAGCATATAATACCTCTTCTTTAGAGAATATAGAGCTCTTCCTTGGATGTACGATTCCTCCAATTAATAAGAAATTTTTTATTTAGCTTGGCTTTAAGTACCATTTGTTTATTTCATTCATCTGTTTTACAACTTAAAGTCCTCAAATATTTTACCTCGGGTATTGGTCTTAATAAAATGTACATGTTGTAGTGGTTAGGTAGTGGTAGTGAATATTCTGTAAAATAATACACAAATGGAATTCTCAGATTCCTCAGTCACTAGAAATTATTTTTTTTTGTCTGAGTTTAATGAACTAACATCTATAGCCAGTAATGCATATATTTTATGAAAAATGATAGCTAAGAATTCAGGCCACACGCATCAGGAGGGTTGGTGAGCCCCGGAGATGGAGAAGCAGACTTGTTTATGTTATGCTGATGATTGTTTGTAGTGGGACATAAGGCCAGAGTCCAGTCATAGTGCCATGGCCAAATTTGCTTCTCCCACAGGATGCTGGTACAGCCAGAGAGACAGTCAGCAGAACTTGCCGAGGATAAAGACAAGGTCCCCCTGGACTGGTGAGTCTTATGGGGAAAAGTGGGCCCAGTCTAATGGAGGTGAGCTTGTCTCTCCGCAGGTGGGCAAACGGCGGGGCGGGAGAATCCTTGCCACTGGAATGGTCAAGAAGCAGCGGAAAGAACCGGAGACTGTGAAGGTTAGTTTAAAGATCTGAATGTCTTTGTTGCCATATTTTGTCAGCCTCATTGCAAGTAACCAAATGGGCACTCGAACACTGCTCTAAAGTATATAATTTGAATACAAGAAATAAACCACTAGGTTTGACTAAAATATAGGAAAAATTGACAAATATGCAAAAACACTTAACTGACACTTATGTATGAGTACCCTTACTGTATCCAACCACCACCTGTAGCCAGCATGATACTGTATGTAGATTTGAAATGGACAAAAAAGAACAACTTTATTTCTGTAAAGTGGAGTACAGTATACAATTTACATTTGAGTAATTCACATGTTTAGCACAGTACAAAGAAATAAATTACAATCGAGTAAAAAACTGACAACTAAAATGTGACATAGTATATGTCAGTAAATAAAAACAATTTAGTGAAATTATCGTTTACTAGCCTTTTTGTACCAGGTTTTAGCTATTTATCCCTATATTTATACTGTCATAAACATCAATTGTCATATAGTGAAAACATCCTAAAAGATGGTTTCGTAATCAGGTGTCTATTGTATATTAAAAAATGTGTAACACGAGTCTTCAGGTTAGCTGATTTTTAGACCCATTGTTGTTTTGTTTGTTGTGCTTTTACATTATACTGAGAAATTAAAAAACAGTGCAGGGGATACAAAATTCAGAAGGTGGAGGGGTGTCACTGTTGAGGTGGTTTGGGTATTTAGAAAGGGTGACTCAGAATAGGATGACAGAGGGTGTACAAATCTGGGATGGATGGAAGGGAAAGGCTAGGGAAGGTCCAGGAAAGGGTTGGAGAAAGGGGACTGAAGGAGGGCTCAACTTCCAAAGTTTCAGTATTCAACTGTATGAATTGTTAGTCAGTGCATGTAATCATTATGATTAATCAGTAGTTATCTGTGTAATCGGTTTTGTATGCTGCATCTGTATTGACCACTGTAGTATTTTAAATTTTACTTAAAATTATTGATACTGTACTATAGATAATTGTACTGTTTACTGAAAATAGAAAATTATAAATGGCTTTGAATATAGAATACATAATTATTATGTACAGTATAATTATTAAATTGGTAAAGCTTTCATCGGGCAAGGCTGCATATACAGCCTTCCCTCACTTCCTCACTTAGCGAAATATGCACTCATTTACCGATGACTCGGACTTACGACGGGGTCTCTGACCAGTATGCATACCTAAATACAGTGGAACCTCTACTTGCGAGCGTGTCCACGTGAGAGTTTTTCTTAATACGAGCAGTCGATTTTTTGCTTCCGTACGCAAGCAAAATTTCCATAAACAAGCAGACCTCAAGGTAGGTTCCTTGACACTGGTGAGGGGCTCTTGCTCTCGGGAATTGTATCTCATTTGGTTGTTGGACTATCTTATTGAAACTTGGGCAGTGTATGATGGAAAGATGCTTCTTAACGTACACTAAAAATGAAAAATCTAAGCATAAATAATGGAGTTCACTTCTCAGCAATTAGCCACTCCTTAGCTGTATTTTCGTATGGTTTTTTGTGGTTGTATTCTCGTCTTTTGATCTCATTTGATAGAATGGAAGATACATTACAGAAATAGATATGATTTTGATTGCTTTCCCGACGAAAAGTACCTTGAAATTCAGCTCAACGTAGGAGAAATGGTTCATTGCTTGGCTATGTTTCAGAGTAAACTAATGTAACAGAAATAATATTTCTTACCTTAAATTGTGGGTGCTGGTGTTTGTGGATGATTGTGAAGAGAGTGTAGAGTTATGTTGTGGCCCTACTGGGCTGAGGTGGATGGTAGAGGTTCTGGTACTGAAGTTGATGGTTGTACTGGAGTGTCTAACTTCAAGTCATTCCCAATCAAGTGATTCATTTAAGTCAGTCAAGTGATTCAGTAAGTCAGTCAATTTGATATTCAGTAAGTTCAGTAAATGTGATTTAGTAAGTCAGTCAAGTGATTTAGTAAGTCAGTCAAGTGAATTCAGAAAAGTCAGTCAAGTGATTCAAAGTCAGTAAGATAAAAGTCAAGTGATTCAGTAAGCCAGTCAATGTTTTAGTAACGTCAAGTGATTCAGTAAGTCAGTCAAGTGATTCAGTAAGTCAGTCAAGTGATTCAGTAAGTCAGTCAAGTGATTTAGTAAGTCAGTCAAGTGATTTAGTAAGTCAAGTGATTCAGTAAGTCAGTCAAGTGATTCAGTAAGTCAGTCAAGTGATTCAGTAAGTCAGTCAAGTGATTTAGTAAGTCAGTCAAGTGATTTAGTAAGTCAGTAAAATTTTGTGTGATTTAGTAGTCAAGTGATTCAGTAAGTCAGTCAAGTGATTCAGTAAGTCAGTCAAGTGATTCAGTAAGTCAGTCATCCAGTCAGTAAGTCAATCAGTCAAACTCGTGCTAAATGACAGTCTACTGTACATTTTATTCATTTTAGAGTATATATCAGGTTTCTGTGTTATTTATATTGTTATGTCATATTAGATATAGTGAGATAGATAAATAAGCCGTAGAGTTGATATTAACGAAATTATTGAAGTACAAAATTCCACTGGAACGGATTAATTGCATTTCATTTAATTTAAATGAAGAAATTGACTCTTCAAACAAGCAAATCCAGTTGCAAGCAAGGTCTTGGAATGGATTAACCCTTTCAGGGTCGACAGGCCCTCTCCCAGACTTGTTCTCAGGGTCGGCCAAATTTAAAAAAAAAAAATTATTTTTTCTTTTGAAAACATAGAGAACCTTTTCCCGATCATAATGACACCAAAATTATGAAATTTGATAGAAAACTTACGGAATTATGCTCTTGCGAAGTTAGCGATCTTGACGATGTTTACACATCGGCGATTTTTCCCACTTTGAGCCCTATTTTCGGCCAATTCCAGTGTACTAGTCGACAAAAATCATAACTATTTTGCTAGAACTCCATTTTTTCTATCGAATGAGTACAAGAAACCACCCATTTACCGATTTTAACTATCCAGTACAGTGGTCAGAATTTAGCAATTTTGCCAATTTCACACAAATTTCAAAAGATGCCAGTTTCCAAATAGGGTCCAGAATAAACAAGAAAGACATTCCTGGCACTAATATAACATTTCCTCTGTTCATTAGTCACGTCCCCACACCCCTCTTACATTCTTTTGCTTTCCACCTTGAATTTTTATTCTCACAAAAAAATAGAAGATTTACTCTTATGCAGACTACGGCATTAGTGTAAAAATGGTATAAATAATACCAGCGCACTTGTGAAAGAATATTAGAACCACTAGTTGACATGTATTGGACGCTTAGCATGATTTGTTTACTTTTGAACTTTGGTAAATATCAAACATATCTGCTAATTTGAGCTCAATTTTAAGGTACTTTTCATTGTAAAACCAGTCAAAATAATCTCAATTTCTGTAATATGTCTTCCATTCTGTAAAATGAGACCAGGAAAACTAGAACACAGAAATAAATACCATACAAAAATACAGTGCAAAGTCGCTGTTTTAATCCAACAACACGGTCAAAGTTTTTTTTTTCTCGTTATGCACTGTGTGCTGCAGGATTTTTTTTATACTGCGCACATAGACCCATTTTTTCATATGTAGGCCTACCAGCTTTCTCTCACTAGATTTGAGGGAGCTAGAATTTAGGTGTACTAGTACTAGTACGTCCTGAAAGGGTTAAACTCGTAAGTAGAGGTTCCACTGTAATGTATATTAGAGCTGATTTCCTCTGTTTTGTTTTTACATTACAATACACTTCTGTATAAACATTTAAAAAATATATAAAAATGTTGTAAATGGTGCAAAGGCAACATTAAAACAATATCAAAGATGGTTGACACAAACCCACTACCATTATAGTATGCTCCTTGCTTAGCGACAAATTCATTTGCTGACGTGGTCTTAGGAACAGAACTCCATCATTAAGTGAGGAGAGGCTGTAATTATATTCTTGTATATGTACTGCTTAAGAATTGATTGTGAACACTTATGTAAAAATATTGTTAATTTTTGTGATAATAATTAAAGGTTATATACACAGGTTTCTCCTCATTTAGTGTAATTTTGCTTGTATGCAGTGACCGTATTTCTATCAGGAATTCTTTATACCTTGAAAAAATTAATTCTTATGCAATTGGAGAGGGTGGTTACTATGCGTTTTTATCACATACGATGACTCGATATTTAACCAACAATCCATTATCGCTAAATTAATGTATGTTGAAGGCAGTGGTGAGTAAGGGATGCTGTTATGTCACGCACCTCACACTAAACATGTCCAGGACACATGAGCCTCTGTCCTCTCTTGCCCTGATGAACATTGAGGGGGGCATTGAATCAGTTAAGGGGGGTAGTGAGAGAAGAAAGGTAGTGAGTGGGGAAGAGAGCAAGTAACACAGCCACCAGTCCGAAACTGGCCACCCTCCTGCTGTCCCAGTCAACCCACTACCCCGTCCTTCCTTTTCCTCGGCCAGTCTGGGGCCTTCATGGCTCACAGGCTACCCACCCACCCACCACCATGCCTCACCAACAGCAATCCACTCCTTCCCCAACAAACCAACAAGATAAGATAAGATAAGATAAGATTTCGTTCGGATTTTTAACCCCGGAGGGTTAGCCACCCAGGATAACCCAAGAAAGTCAGTGCGTCATCGAGGACTGTCTAACTTATTTCCATTGGGGTCCTTAATCTTGTCCCCCAGGATGCGACCCACACCAGTCGACTAACACCCAGGTACCTATTTGCTGCTAGGTGAACAGGACAACAGGTGTAAGGAAACGTGTCGAATGTTTCCACCCGCCGGGAATCGAACCCGGGCCCTCCGTGTGTGAAGCGGGAGCTTTAGCCACCAGGCCACCGGGCCACAACTCACATTCTAACACAACATAAATAATAAATCTACAGTTCATGACCAATCATTTAAAGAAAATGAGGCCTTCATACATGTATGAATTAAACATTCACAGAGTATGAATGCATTTGGTTAAATAATTAAGAAAAAATATGGAACTGGCAGTCT